AGAACACAAGTGAATGGCCAGCACAGGACTGCAGCAGCACCAACGCTGGCAAAGTGGCACCTCGTTCCTAAGCGGTGGCTCCAGAGTCACTAATCCAGTGCCTTAGCACTATCTGTCCATAAGGGTCATAAGCCACATGCTATGGCTTGTCACCCCTAAACCCAGAATGCAGAGAATGGACAAAAAGCTGAGCAATTCCTGTTTGGCAAGGTGATGGGGAGAAAGCCATGAATGGGATAATAAAATTACTCTATGGATACCAGGCCCCAAACTAGACACTTCAAGTACATTACCAAATTCACTTTACTTTCACAATAACCTCCTGAGACAAGTGTCATAAGTCTCATTTTACAGACCAGGAAACTGAGACTTAAAGGCTTTAAGTCACTTGACCCAAATCACATGGCTAATTAAGGCACTGAAAGAGGATTCAAACCAGGAAGAATTAAGTCCTCCTGAAAGACTTCCTGGTGCTCCAAAGATGAGATGGTAGAGTACGTCCCAGGGCACCTATGCTTTCCCCTATTACAGCACTTTTCACAATGTATTTTTATTGCTTATTTGACAGTCTCACAAAAAGTTGCTAACTTCTTGAAGGCCAGCCAGTGTTGTAATTCCTAGTTGTATCTCAGGGCCTCTAACACTATGCTGTATCATAGGCACTAGTGTGTTTTATACTGAATGAAAGAAATGTAATTAAACTAAATCAATATTGTTTCTCCTCTATTAAATATAATGTAATATGAGAAATTATCCAGACAGGTTTTTTACTCATGTTTTATAGTAACTTACAGAATCTTTGGAAGTCTGTATTTTAAATGTATTCATTAAGGCTGGGCACAGTGGCTCAAGCCTGTAATCCCAGAACTTTGGAAGGCCAAGGCAGGAGGATCACTTGAGCCCAGGAGTTCAAGACCAGCCTGGGCAACACAGAGACCCTGTCCCTACAAAAATAATTTTAAAATTAGCCACGCATGGTGGCATACACTTGTAGTCCTAGCTGCTCAGAAGATCATCTGACCCAGGAGCTCAAGGCTCCAGCCCAGCCTGGGCAACAGAATGAAAGTCTTTAAAAAAAAAAAAAAAATTTATTAGTCATAGTCTGGTAGTAGGCTTAGGTGATAAGTCGTACTTTTTGAAATGAACATCTATTACGTTTTCCGTTCAAAATTGTTCTTCTATTGGATAAAATTGTAATTGGCTCTTTCCAAGATAGCAGCTGAACAGATTCTATTCCTGATACAGTTAGTTGCATCCACTTGACATCTGTGTGCTGCTGCTTGCCCAAACCCACGTTTTCATTACTTGGTCAAATGTCCAAAAAAGCAATTCATCTCACGTAACTCTTACCATGTTCTGGTATTTCTCAGAGTTTTTGCTCAACGTACTTGGCCCCTATGTTGTTCAGGATCTGTACTGGTTCCTGTAGCTATCCCACAAAGTACTGTGGGATATCTGGCAATAACTGCCAAGCTCAAGAAGGGTGAAGGAGCTTCAAAAGAAAATAAGAACTGAGCTAGGCCTTGGAAAAACTCTGAATAGTCACTTGATGTGATGAATCAGGGAACAACCTGTGTCCTGTTGTGTCCAGAATTGGTTCCTTCCAGTGGGTTCTTGGTCTCGCTGACTTCAAAAATGAAGCCATGGACCCTCACGGTGAGTGTTACAGTTCTTAAAGATGGTGTGTCTGGAGTTTGTTCCTTCAGATGTTCAGATGTGTCCGGAGTTTCTTCCTTCTGGTGGGTTTGTGGTCTTGCTGATTTCAGGAGTGAAGCCACAGACCTTCGCAGTGAGCGTTACAGCTCTTAAAGGTGGTATGTCCAGAGTTGTTCGTTCCTCCCAGTGGGTTCGTGGTCTCACTGGCTTTAGGAGTCAAGTTGCAGAACTTCACAGTGAGTGTTACAGCTCATAAAGTTATTGCACACCCAAAGAGTGAGCAGCAGCAGGATTTATTGTGAAGAGCGAAAGAACAGAGGTTCCACAGCATGGAAAGGGACCCCAGCGGGATGCAGCTGCTGGCTCGGAAGGCCAGCTTTTATTCCCTTATTTGGCCGTGCCCATGTCCTGCTGATTGGTCCACTTTACAGAGTGCTGATTGGTGCGTTTACAAACCTTTAGCTAGACATAGAGCGCTGATTGGTGCGTTTTTACAGAGCGCTGATTGGTGCATTTACAAACCTTTGGCTAGACACAGAGCACAGATTGGTGCATTTACAATACTTTAGCTAGACAGAAAAGTTCTCCAAGTCCCCACCCAACCCAGAAGCCCAGCCGGCTTCACCTCTCACTGTGATGGCAAATGGGCTTTTTGAACAAAGGCTAGAACCTAGCAAGCATGTAAGAAAATGCAGCAGAACCTATAAAATGGAGGGATACGTCCAAACCAAACAGGGCTCAAGGAAAGCATATCCAAATATAAGCAAAACAGTAGACAATACCTTGGGGCTTTTCAAAATCCAATTTACAAAAACCACCTAGCCACTTAGAATACGTTTAAACCACAGTTAAACACGTAACTGGGCTTCTGGAAACTGGAGAAGGCAAGAGCACAGGGAACTGAAAGAGCTTCAGGCAAGGGTTACAACATTACCAGATGGGAAACAGGAGACGGGGAAAGATCAAAATGTTGACCCCCATATCTAAAAATTCTGATGTGGTCAACTTTTAAAGACCTTTTTCTTAACTTCCCATGTGAAAACTGTTTTATGCTGTTTACAAAAAGCTCTTTAACCTACGAGAGTAAAGTCTTTCTGAAGTATCCCATGTAAGCAGATTTAATCAGAGGAACAAGACTGTGTGCTCGCCAAAATATGACTGAATGTTTAGGCAGCACAGATGTGGAAAGTAATTCAAATACCCAAACTTAAACCCTTTCCTGTTTCTTCTAGAATTATCAGTTGGATAGGCTACTTATTAGATACTTTATGTATTAAGACAGGGTAGGGGCTGGTTGAGAATTTAAAAAAAAAAAAAGCACAGTCTTTTAAAGATTTAACAACCTAATGGAAAGGACAGATGTTTACATAGTTTACATACTGTTGTATAATACAGACAACCACCCTTCTCTACGGTTTATTATGGTATACAAAACTGCCAGGAAAAAGGGCTTCTCCCTATGACCCACAATGACTGGCTCTTCACAGGTGACCTCCGCAGGTACAACAGTCAACACACACACCATACTGAGCAAGACTGCACATAACACCAACTCTTTATAAACTTGAAGCCAGAAGAACACGGAAGGATACATAAATAGGACTTCAGGAAAGAATTTTGTCATTAAATAGTTTAAAGCATAGAATAAACTATTGTAACCATTTCTCCTTTTAAAAGGACTACTGATTGTGCAAGTCGCTTCGCAGGATATACTCTGAACAAATGTTAACATCAGAAGCTGGAAAGTTTAAGGGGAAAAATGAGTCAATAGAAGATGCAAGGTCAGACATTTCTAAATTCCAGTAGAGTAGATGGCAAGTAAAAGTAAATAGATTCACTCGCACTCAGTTTTCATTTCCATAATATAACCTTCACACATGTAAGCACCATCCAATTCAAATGAGAAAAATAAGAAATGGACGTTGTTTACAAAGAATACCTGCCAATGAAATGTTAAAAGAGAATGAACCAAAATGCAACAAACTTTCGAACAGCTTAGAGACACAATCAAAACAAAATCATAAAACTATAAAACAATAGTCAGATCCCCCAAGTCCTTCATTTGACAGATAAGAAACTAAAGCCAATGACTTAGTCAAGGTCGCAGAAGTGAAAGCTGACCTCCAATCTCCTGCTGTAAAGCCAGAGGGGACAACCCAGCTGCCTGCAGCATGGCAAACAATCCAAGGAAGGAGCCTGGGGTGGTGTCCCCAGTGATCTCCCACTGTCCACAGGGGCTGAGCCTCAGTTCATAGCCCTTCATTAAAAACTGTAATACGGTATGCCAAAAAGAAATGTCCAATATTGTCACAAGTCACTTAAATGATAATTCATCCCATAAACAGCAGTTACAGAGCTGGAACTCCTTGGGTTCATCTGTGTGGTTAAGCTACTGAGGCCACAGTGTTTATTTCCACCAAGGGATTTTAGTCATTTCTTTTAGGAAGAGGAAAAAAAAAAAAAAAAAAGCTCACATTCCCAGCCATGTGGGGGAAAAAAATATAAATATAAAAACTCCCTTCTCAACCTAAAATTGGTATTAATTCCCCTCTCCCTGGGCCAAGCCAAAAACGGTAAACAACAGGCAAATGTTACTTTTTCTTTCTCAAGTACATACACAAAATTCAGGAAAGACTGGTGGAAATTATTTCTCTGGGGTAATTTCAAAAGTCAGATTGCACATTTTAAATAAGTTGCTAAATATATCCCAGGCTCCCTGTGGCAAAACCGCTGCATTATTTCTGGAAATCACAGTTAAATCCCAGATCCTTGAGTACAGAGTCTGTGGTTCACTCACCTTTGAATCCCCAGCATAACACTATACAGCACACAATATAATGCACAATACCATCACAATACTGGCACACAATAGAGACTCACTAAATTTTTGTTAAATTGAAGGAAATTACATCCCAATACTTAATAGTCTCTTCCTAGTTTCAGTGGCATCACGGTGTGGCAGCGTCTATAATCTTAAACCCTACTGTAATGCTACATTCCTCCATAAAACTGAGGTGCGCACAGAAATAACTACACTCCCCCCAGTGATAAGCTCCTTCTATTCGGAGCAAATGTGTTGTTTGGTTACAGGTATTTTTAAAACTCTATATGGAAAGGTGTAGCCCAAGAAGATTACTAGAGGTTTTACTACCTTGTCCAGGTGTTTTTGTTTTGTTTTCAATTCCATATCCCCCAAAGGGGGAAGAGCACATTTCGAACATAAAACAACAGATGGTTTGCTCCGGCATCTCCTTCAAAGCTGGCAAATGTGAATAAAGTGTACAATGAAGCAGCAGAGGCATCTATGTTTTCTGTTTATGAGTGTATTCAAATTAGACACAAACCTTTACAGCTCCAAGTTGCTCTTTTCTGAATTTTTCCAAGGGTTTAATCAGGGTTTCAGTCACACTTAATGCCTAGAGAACAAGAGTGATGATAAAAGAGCACAGCATTAGGCTTCCAAAAAGGAAAAAATTAGTATTTCATTTCCCTCTTCCACCCCACCCAGAAAGAAAATGAACAACATATTTAGTGGCTTTATCTCACTCTGCCAATGCAACAATTAAATCACTTCTCAACTTATTAGAGCACTAGAACTCCATAAATATTTTCAGGGAAGAGGAGGTGGGCAGATTGCCAGTGAAATGTGCAACACAGCCCCAACTCTCTTCCACAAAACAGCAAGAGGGCTGTCTGTAAACAACAAAGGGGTCTATCACATTCATTAACAGAACACTTCTGTTTGAGATTGTTTTTTCCTTCCCCCTCCTTAGAAATTTAAAATTCAATTACATTCCTTTATTGATAATCAGACTACATTATGTCAAGAATTAGGACTGTAGCTACTTGTTCAAATACAACCAGTCTGCCCTTCATTACAGAAACCTCCTAAGGATTTAAGGTATATTAGCAAAGTAGAGTCACTGGAGGCTCACGAAAAAGCCAAATGCTTGGGCATGCTAGCAAGCATGACATCAGGGAAGCTCACATGAGAGAAGCCATACACAAACTCCAACCACAATCACATTTATTTCTTAAGTTGGCTGGTTTGGGGCTTTTCATGTTAAGTCACAAAATGCTGAAAATGCAAATAAAAGAAAATATTCATCGAAAGAAAACATACTTAGTAACAACACACTGGTAGGTAGTGGCTTCTCAGCCTTTGTTTCCAGGAGACCAGAACTATCCAAAATATACAAGAAAATCTCAAAACATTATTTAAGAATGTGCCATCCCTCTTTTTAGAAAGGTGCTCAAAAATCCAAGCTTAACATTACAGAAAAAATAAGTGATTTGGAATAGATCAAGATTCTTAATTTAACCAAAGGCTCCTCATCAGTGTTTCATTATGTGAGAGTTTATCCCAAAGAGACCATTCATACTCTAAGGTAGGGAACACTCAAAATAAGCGACTATGCCCACTTTCAAGATGCTCAGTTTCAACTTTCTACCCCAGGCTAACCCCTGGATTCCCCTCACTCCCACCTGGATAATTTGCTGCTTGGGTGTAAAATAGCTGGGGCAACAGAGATCTAAAAGAAAGAATTAACAGCAACAACTAGCCAGGGAAAAGCGATCATCTTTCAAAATATCATTTTTATCCTCTCTACATTTTAGACCATGAGACCTACAGCAATGGCAAACCAAAGAGTCCTACAAAGCACTACAAGCCAGGAATCCTGACTCCCCAGTATGGAATGCCCCACATTCCATTTGAGAGTGCAGATACAAGAAGTGCTAGCACATTAATCGATTTACACACAGTGTCTCATAGATTAACTTAAGACACACTAATATGAGCACCTGTGTCATTTTTTAAGTTCCCACATGTGGATCTACCCAAGTAGTGTTCCCAAATAAACCTCCATATAATATGTCTTCTGTGAAACTGGTACACTCAAGAAAAAAGTCTGAACCCACCAAGCGTAACTACCACGCAACATGGCAATAAAAGTACCAAAGAGGTGCTTCCCCAAAGTTGCCATCTTAATAAACTTTAAATATGTGCCTATTTTACGAGATAAATAGCTGCTGAGTATGCAATGCCAGGTGATAGGGATATAGCTACGAACAAAACAAGCACAGCCCCCTGCTTTCGTGGAAATTACTGTTTGGTAGAGAAGATACAAACCAGATACATGAACACCTAAGGAGATATATAAGAGCACATTTTAGTAATTCCTTCCAATGAAGAAAAGTAGGGGTATGGTGAGGAATGTATTAGAAATGTGTGCAAAGAGAGCTTCTTCAAAGTAGTGACATTTAAGCTAAAACCTAAAAGGTGAGAAGGAATCTGTGGTGCAAAGGGCAAGGGAAATTGTTTCCTGCTGAGATCAGCAGAGGCAAAGGATGAAGGTGAGGAGTTTGAGCATTATAGGGAATGTCAAAAGGCCAGAAAGGCTGAAGCATAAGGAGCAATTAAGTGAGCCCGTAGAGCTGAGTGATGGCAGGGAATCAGAGCGTGCTGGGCCTTGTGGGCTCTGGGAAAGGGTTAGCATTTTATTTGGGGTACAATACAAAGCCACAGGAGGTTTTTAGGCAGTGAATTGACAATGATAATTAAAGCTTTTCAAGATTACTCTGGCTGCTGAGGGAGAGATGAGAGGTACAGAAAACTGGAAGACAGACTCGTTAGGAGGCTTCTAGAGTGGTACAGGAAGAGATGCTGGTGGTTCAAATGAAGGCAACCAACAACAGAAGTAAAGAGAAGTAGACAGATTTGAGAGATATTTGCAGGTAGAGTCAAAGTAATGAGAGACTGACCGAATGGAAAAGGTGAAGATTTCCAGGATCCCTCCCAGATTTCTGGCATGAACAAATGAAGAGATAACAATACTAGTTATTGCCAGGCACAGAGAGACAAGCATCACATGCTCTCACTTATTTGTGGGATGCAAAAATCAAAGCAATTGAACTCATGGAGATAGAGAGTAGAAGGATGGTTACCAGAAGCTGGGAAGTATAGTAGGGGGGAGGTAGGGATAGTTAATGGGTACAAAAAAATAGTGTGAAAGAATGAATGATACCTAGTATTTGATAGCACAACAGGGTGACTACAGGCAAAATAATTAAATTGTACATCTTAAAATAACTACAAGAGTATAATTAGATTTTTGTAACACAAAGGATAAATGCTTGAGGGGATGGATACCCTATTTTCCATGATGTGACTATTATCCATTGCATGCCTGTATCAAAATATCTCATATACCCCATAAATATATATACCTATTATGTACTCACAAATCCTAAAAATAAAAATAAAAATTTAAAAATAAAAAATAAAGGACACTATTTACCGAAGCAGGGAAAATCTTGAGGGAAAGTAGCTGGGAGCACACACTAAGGGCTCATGTTAAATCCAAGATGCTGAGAAACGCCTAAGATCTTAGTAAAACGGGCTGTCAGAGATACAGGTCCACAGTCTAGAAGAGACGCCTAGGTCAGAGATGCCAATTTTTGTCCTCATCAACAAGTAGATGGCATTTGAAGTCATGCAAGTAGATAGGTAGGACAGTAGAAAAATGGAAATGTCTCAGACCAAGTACTTAGAACAGGAAAAGGAAGAACAGACGGAAACTATGGCAATGAGACTGGAGAAAGTTACCAAGGTGTTGGATAAAAGAAGAAAGAGGTTCAGGTCTGGCATGGTGGCTCATGCCTCTAATCCCAGCACTTTGGGAGGCTGAGGTGGGCAGATCACCTGAGGTCAGGAGTTCAAGACCAGCCTGACCAACATGGAGAAACCCTGTCTCTACTGAAAATACAAAATTAGCCAGACAGCGCCTGTAATCCCAGCTACTCAGGAGGCTGAGGCAGGAGAATCGCTTGAACCCAGGAGGCAGAGGCTGCGGTGAGCTAAGACAGCACCACTGCACTCCAGGCTGGGCAACAGAAAGAAACTCTGTACCCCTCCCCCGCAAAAAAAAAGAAAGAAAAAAAAAGAAAAAAAAGAAAGGAGTTCAGCTGTGTGGGCTGCAGAGACGTTAAAGAAAGAATGAGAGCTCAGCAATATCCATGGCAAGGTGGCAGAAAGGGCCAGACTGGAGTTGATTTATGACTGACAGCTGAGACCATGTGGGGAACAACCCTTCCTCAAAGAATGACCATGCAGGGCAGTACAGAGAGAGGATGACTGCTGAAAGAGAATATGCCATAAAGTGAAGGCATGTATTCTTTTAAGACAGCAAGCTGGTATTTAAGAGATGAGAGGATGTCTAAATGCCCATGTGAAGAATCCAGAAAGAATGGTTCACAGTCTCTGACAAGGGAGGAGATGGGATGCTGAGCGTGCAAGGAGGGTTGGCCTGTCATAGAAGTCAAGATCCTTCCTTCCCTGTGATAGAAGGAGAAAAGGGGTGCCAGTACAAATGGATTTGTGGGCTTCGTGACAAAAAGCTGAGAGTTGCTACCAGATGGCTATTTTTTCCCATAAAGTACAAAACAAGGTCACTTGCAGAGAGTTTGGGCATGAGAAGTTTCATGCCCAACTAACAGGAAGAATGAATGAAAGAATCATTACAAATGGGACAAACACTTCTTGGAGAAACAAGAAGGCCTTTTGAGATAGGCGAGGAGGAGTTGATGAAGATATCATCTGCCTTATTGCGGGATTTTCTCCAGCAAGGGAGGGAGAAGGTGGGTGGCTGAGTTCATCCCAGGCGAGTGTGTCTAAGAGATATGAACGCGTCAGCACAATATGACGTGGTAGGCAAAGTGCTGGCAAGCTGCGTAGAGCTACTGGGGAGCAGAGGAGGAAGGTCCCCTGAGTAGGAGAAGACTTCCTGAAGGAGATCATGCACAGCGCAGCCTGAAACAGAGGGAAGGCGTTCTCCAGGCAAAGGCCTTCCATGCGGAGAGGGGAAAACAGCAATTTCAGGGCACGGAACCTAAGCAGCTCAGTGTCACTAAAGCAGATGAGAAAATCAGAGAGGATCACAAGACAAGGCGAGAGATATCGGATGGTCTCCATTAGCCATCAGAATGGGACGCCGGAAATGCTCAGAAAGTAGATGTAGGTTATCAATAATATGGATATATGAAGGCCTTTTAAAATAAGAACCCCAAAACTTCATACTCTGGAGTAAACACTGTCTTCCACCAAAAGAACCAGGCTACAAAGATTACACAAGAGCAATTTTAGGTCATTATATTTTTCCTTCATTTGGAGAGTTAATTTAATGCAATATCCGTCTGAACTCCAAAGGCTAACGCTAGAGTAGAAAAAGAACATAAGGGTTTCATGGCCAGGCTTAGTGGCTCACACCCCGTAATCCTAGTACTTTTGGAGGCAGAGGCGGGTGGATCACTTGAGGTCAGGAGTTTGAGACCAGCTGGTCAATATGGTGAAACCCCGTCTCTACTAAAAACACAAGAAAATTAGCCAGGCATGGTGGCAGGCACCTGTAATCCCAGC